TTCCTTGTAAATCCAACCATTGTACTTATTACGGAAACGTGGTGTTATTCATCTATATCCGATCATTCCTTGAATGTAGATAACTACGTTTTCTTTAGAACCGATAGATGTTATGGAATAGGAGGCGGTACAATTATCTATGTCCGTTCAGACATTCAAGCATGCAAATTTGCGGATAAATCTCTTGATGATATAGACGACTACACTTCGGTTACTGTAAACTGTGGATCCCAAAATTATTTACTGGTGGGATGCATATATAGACCACCTCATGCGGATACTAAGTTTGACAGATTACTAACAAACATATTTTCCATTGCTTCGCACCAACCGCATACTTTTAAAATCATCGGAGGTGATTCTAATCTGCCAAAAATTACATGGGGCTTGACTCCGGTACCAGGTCGATATAACAAGCTAGTTGAAACATTAGAAATTTGTGGATTGGTTCAGCAGGTCAGAAAACCAACCAGGGGGAATAATAAACTTGATTTAATGTTCACAATCAACATAGACTCTATCTCAGTGCACACCAGTCATTAGTTTTTTATGAGTGACCATAGAGTTGTATTGAGTATTATTCACTCTTTAAACGCTATACAATTGAACTCTAAAGCTTCATTGATGTACCAAAGCAGAGATTTTGATCAACAAACATGGAAACGGACTGGAACTTTCATTCAATGTCTACCATGGGAAACTTATTTTACCACAAATAATGTTGACATTGCGTTTTCCAATCTATACCACAACCTGATATATTGTCTTGACTGCACTGCTCCAGTTATTGTCCGTGTGGCTTATAATGCTAATAGGGGCCAAAATACTTTTAAAAGAAAGCTGAGGAAATTAAAATGCCGCTACTACGAGCAGAATGACATGTATGCACTTCAGAGTATACTGAAATTAATCGACAGAAATGCTTCATCTAAACGTAAGTATTTCATGAATATAGAAAATAAAGCTCTACGTAGTAAAAGCCCAGAATTATCAATACTTCGACTTTTTAAATCCCGTGTAAAGTCAAATTCCCTTGGCACGATTAAATTCTTCATAGTTAACGGAAGCATTGTTAACGACCCGAATACTATATGCGAACAATTCAGCAAGCACTTCTCGCAGTGCTACAAAACTGGAACTGAAAACTCCATCATTACATTTCCAATGCTGACATCCAGACATCTGTCGGAAATTGATTTTACACACCCCAACATCAAGCAGGCCATAGCTGCCCTGAAAAAGTCTTATGATGGTGGACCTGACGGGATACCTTCATCATTTGTGAAATATGGAAGTAGAGAATTTCCACTGTTTTGTTTGAAACTTTTCAATCTATCTATGGAATATGGGACCTATCCATCTGTATGGAAACACATCCCTTATCACCCCTAGATTCAAAACAGGACCACGTAGTGATATTATTAACCATAGGCCAATTAATTTGACACCCGTGCTCTCAAGAACCATGGAAAAATCATCCACAAACAGCTATTATCATTTTTACTTTCGGTTAGTCTGATCAGCCCATCCCAACACGGGTTTATGACTAAACGCTCATGTTTCACATCGCACCTGGAGTTTTTTGATCAAATTACCCAGAAAAGAGATGTTGGTTAGTCAGTGATAATTCTTTACTTCGATTTTAGCAAGGCTTTCGAGAGTGTCTCACACAAACTTCTTCTTCTAAAACTCTCTTCATTTGGCATACAGAATCCTCTTTTATCTTGGCTCAAATCTTTTTTAGAAGAACGTAGCCAAATCGTTCGCTTTGTATCTTGCTACTCTAAACCTGTGAATGTAACCAGTGGGGTTATACAAGGAAGTGTTGTTGGTCCATTACTCTTTCTCCTTTTTATCAATGACGTGTGTTCCCTCTTTCAGTATGGTAAGCCCTTCCTTTTTGCTGATGACCTGGAAGTATTATATTCATTCTCTTCTCCTACGAAAGAAAGCTATATTTCAGCGGTAATCCAAGAGGAAATAAACAAGTTGTACGAATGGACTGTTTCGTGGAATATGCCATTTAATGTTGACAAAAGTGGATTTATTCACGTTGGTCGCTGCCTTAAGTTAAATCTGACTGTACACACACATACACTCAAACCTCTCAACACTGTTCGTGACCTGGGTTTAAGATGAAGCAACAGTCTGAACTTTTCTGAGCACATTATATCTCAAGTATCCAAAGCTAGAAAGCTGATCGGATTGATCATGATAAACTTTAATAATATCGAATCCAGATTGTTATTATACAGAAAATGTATCTTGCCCATTCTTGAATATGGTAGTTTAGTTTACAGTAATTGCAGACATAATGACCTGATTAAAATTGAAGGAGTTCAAAGAAAGTTCACCAAAGCTGTTCTGGGGTATTCTGATAACAAAGACTATCGCCAAAGATGTCAACAACTCAACTTAGAACCTCTTTGGATCAGAAGTATCAAATTAAATCTTGTCTTTATCTACCGGCTTATTGACGGTATTTCCTACTCTTCCGTATCCACCCCTTCATACCTTATGATATCATAACACAATCTACGCAATAAGGAGAATATTCTAGCGATTCCAAGAGCCCACACAAACTTACGTCAAAATTTTTTCCTTATTCGCTACTCAACCATGTGTAACAGACTGCCAGTGAACCTCTGTTGCAGTGAAACCACAACCTGGTTCAGAAGTCTGCTTGAACATTTTCTTTCCGAAAGTGGATTATGTCACCTATTGAATATCAATGTATTCAATAATGATCTATACAAACAAGATCTGTCATCCATTTAATTGCCTGAAAAGCAAAATGAAACCTTCGAATCTTTTCACGTCTATTTTATTTTATTTATGTTCATCTTAATATATGAAGTCTGCTTATGTTCGTATCTATAATTATTACTGTTATTAATATCATTATTGTTCCCCCGACATATTAGATATTCCTTTTATATCTTTTTATCTTAATTCCTGACTGTCCTTTGAAATTAATTGTGACTTTCATAGCATCATTCTTAATTATTATTGCACAAATATTTATACTAATATCCGGTTTCACTCTGTATACAATTACATAAATCTAAATGTATTCATCCGAGTGCATTAAAGGATTTTTATTTTACTTTTCTCAATTGCTGGTTTACTCCTGAGGTCGATATTCATCACACAATTATTATTCTTATCATGGATGAACCTTTTCACTAGTTGTTCACTTCTTTTCTCTCTCTCTTCTTTCTCTTCTAAATAAATATTATTCTGAAGATTATGGAGTTTGTAACTAAGACAATAACTTGTGTTACACTCAAATTAACTTCTTAGACTCGTTTTATCTTCACTATGCATATATGTCTCATACATATTGATATTTCATTATCCTTTTCATTTAATTGAGACTTTCATCGCATCACTCCAAACTATAACTGCACAAACATTTATTCTAGCGTCATATCTTACTACAATAATAAGTTGTTTTTTCTTAATTATTTTTTGTTACTAATTTGACGATATATACATAGTACTTTGTTCTTGTTTTCTGTTCATAAACACGCCAATTAAACTGTTTGCGTATTTCACGTCTCGTTTATTTCTATTCCCTTATTTTCTCCATTTCCTTCTTTAAACTCAACTCAATATTCTTTTCAATTACACAGACCCGATTAATTACTATTAATATTCTATTATTATTACCCTAATTTTTTTAAAAATATGGCAAGCATAATGCTAATATTATTGAAAATTGAGTATTATTGCATTTTTTGAAGAAACCCAAAATGGTCTCCTCACAACATTTATGTACCCATAAGATGTTTTTGAATAATAATAATAATAATAAATTATCATTGTCGGACTTCCTCTAAAATATACAAACTTTGCATATATTTTATATTCTAAGAGTGTTTAACCGAGTAACATTGCACATCCTTCGAGAAAAATATCCAGAGAATCTCCTGTTTTCATGCTTACGTGTCGTCAGCCATTGTGACTAACCAACTGAAAAAATCTGGTCCAAGAAAGATTACATGTCGGAAAGCATTTTAAGTTTAAGACAAATATATCAAACTATACTGGTGTTCGTACATTTGCAAAGTCTTATTACATTGGTTTGTAACCGTATAAGTTGGTTGGTTAAGAGTTGACCTCAAACAACCAAGCATATGCCAAAACAGTAGAGGTCAAGTATTCATTCACTTCCTTATTTTGCATAGGCGTTATATTTCCTGTTATCTTATATTGAATGTTGAGAGGCTTTGCTTGTCTGAACAAATAATCCCACGCTCCACTGTGACTGCGCGAAGATCGAAATAAAGACCTATTCACTACTTGTCTGGTTTTTTCCATCAATAGCACGAGGGTTACCTTAAGGCACGAAAGGTTCATGGCTTTCGACAACGGTTATGGGTAATTCGGAATCCCAAAATTTGGGAGAAGACAAAGAAGGGATACACCTGCATTATTACAAACAAGGTCAAGCCTTATCAACAAAAGTCTCTAAATATTGGTTACGATAATCACATGGATCCAGACACGGTGGTCTTCACCTTTTGTCATGGTTAAGTCCAACTTTCAATGATTTCACTTACTGATGCCATGTTTTGGTTTGAAAAGCAATGACGGAAGACTGGTTTAACTAAATCCAACCCATTTGTCATATAAAAGGATTGGAGGTGACTTGGTCACAGGTTTCAAATTAATGATGGGTTCGCATCTTCCACGCCCTCGCTTTTATTATCTCACTTTCTGAGTTGAAAGTGGAACTGGAACAGGTTTTTCATCACAAATCAGCTTCCAAAAGGAGAAACAAATTTCACACTATTCGCTTCATTATCTCTATGAGTGATAATATTCTTGTGCAGAAAATTGAAATTAATGTATCTATTAGGGGCAGGTCGTGTAACATAATAACTTAACTGAGTACCTTAATACAGTAAATTTCATAGCACATATAACATTCTGGAGTTGCCAGCAGCTTCTATGATCTTTTCATTTTGAGCCCTGATCTCACCCTGCCATTTTTCATGCATTATCCAAAAGCCGAAGGTTATCGTCTGAGCCATAATAAATTCGGTTTCGGTAGTCATTTACCTGAAAATCCATGTTATTACACCGTCGCTATAGATCCTTTGAAAAAAAATGGTTCAAATGGTTAGAAATTTGGGTAACTGTGGTCTTGCCTTAACATAAAGATTCGAGAACGAGGTAAGCTCGTGTTGAAAACACTCTACATAGGAACTTTCCGCTTCTTGTTATTATCGTTTGCTTCTTAGTTTCCATGACCTTAAAGTTTTGAAGACTATTTGAAGTTGTTCGAAACCTCACGTTATCGAAACCTGGTTTTGCTTATCAGGTTGTCTTAATCTCATGAATGTGTCATTTATAGTTATTTTCATTTTGTGTGCTTGTAAGGTTGTCGACTAAATTTATCCCTTATTTTTTGGTTAGATTGTCGTTCACGAACAACCTTGTGTGCTTCAAAAGTGACCTACTAGCTACTGTTGAGAGTTTAGGGCCAGGATGTATGGTATTACTTCGGGGTTGGGAATTACATTTTCTGTTTAAATGATGACCTTACATTAGCTGTGATGCCAAAATGATGTATAGGCCTATAGTCCATGTTTGGACTTAGCTAGTGAGTCTTGCTCCAAAATCCAATAATTTCTATTCGAAATCTCTTTGTTTCGTCTAATTTAGTATCACCGTTCTTCTCTTCCCTAAATACTTCCATATACTGCCACTCAACCTCAGCACACTAAGCACATTCGGTTTAGACGTGATCCTCTCAAAGACTGAACGTTATACTTTATTACGGATCCAAATTATCATTTGTTTCTTCTTGTTGTTGTTTTACTGTTAGTCCCATAATATTAAAGATTTTTATCGATCGCTTCAAATATATGATGTTAGCTCGTCTTATGTGCATACTGATCCACTGGCTAACTTTTCCTCTTGTTTCCCGAGTTCTCTTCACTGACACCATTCGCCTACAGCACCCAAAGTACCTTTAGGTCAGATGCAATCCACTAATTTGGCAATAATGTATTAAGGAAAAGGAGTATACTGTAATATAATGCTGATTAAAACCAAATAGTTTGTATGTTCATGGAATGTTTCTGGTCTGGAAACCTTTACTCTTTTAAGGTCTATAGGGATAATTATCAACACAAAATAAATGAGCTGTCAACTCATCATGATAAAAATCGTCTTTGGTGGTTAGTAATTACGTTCTTCTAGGTCTTAAGAAATTTCTAGAAACGGCTGGTGAATAATAAAGTTGGAATTGGCTTTTCCGATATGTAAGAAATGTTCGATGTGATGTATCGGACAGTCATCGACCAAAACTCTTCCGCAAGTCGGAAACACTCATAAACAAATCCCAAACTACGCCTAAACATAATCTAGCTAGTGTAAAGTCTTTGACAGATAATCTATTATGCACATTGTAAACAATCATGCAATGACAACCGTGGTCTTAAAGTCCACTGCACAGCGGAAATTACCGCCTAGAAACATGTGCAAACCTTGGGAATCCACTTCAACATTTTGTAAGGCAACCTAGAGATAAACAAAAAAGGAAAATTTGAACCTGCCTGGTGTCTTTGTAGTCGAAACTAAACGTTACGCACCAGTCACAAACTCAACAATAAAGCTAGGGATTGAAAACTTATCTCAGAAACCTGGCTCCCTTAAGAGATAAGTGATATCGAAGTGCGAATCCCGGGCTACTTACTCTGCAGAACTGACATATTAAGTTACAGGGGCATAACAATCATACTGTATGCGAAAAATAACATCCAAATAATCTGTGGAGATAGTGAAGCAACAGAAAAAAAGCATAAAAACTAACACAGGATCATGCAAAACTAAAATAATATTATGCTGAATTGACCTTACTATAGTAAACCTTCAGATGGTAGGCTAATAAATTCCCATTTAACTCTAAAATCCTGTTCGAATTTATGTAGGCGACTTCAGTGGGCCTAATTATTAATACGTTCGTGCAACGAAGCCGTTTACGAACTTTCGCCACGAGTTATCTGTGTACCATTCCCTTACCCAACATCTAGGATGTAAGTAGAGCAATATGGTCGTTCAATTTCCAGTCCTTTTGGTATTAACGAAACTAGTTGCCTTTCTGAAGGGTTTCATTGATGAAACAGCACAACTACATATGCGCCAGTTGCTTCTGTCTTGTTCCCTGTCCGGTAATTCCCGATCATTTGTACGGTGTATAAAAATGGCTGATAACTCCTTCCCATATCAGTCTCTGGATGATGACTGATATTCATTGTTATTATGTGGTTAGTTCGATTGTTCATTTACTTTGGTCTTTAGATTTGCATGTGCTGTTTGAAGCGTTCCGATTTGTTCGTATTGAATATGGGACGTTTGGATGTGCTTTTGTTCTAAAGATTTTAAAGTAGTCAATGAGCGGACATTTGTGTTTGTCCAGGTTTATGATTATTAATTAGGCTGAGGCGTGATAGTTTCCGAAATGCTTGTTCATTGTTGCAAGCATTCTGTCACAGTCTTTATTCGTACATTTAGCCTATTCTTATAAATCGTTGGCTCATATTTATTATTTCTATTGAATCTTTTTTTGGGATGAATGTTTCAAATAGTTGGGAGAAAGTTGCTTTCAGTGAATCCATGCACAGTTGTAGTTGGCGCATCTGACGTTTTGTGATTATTTCCGTTGTCTATTTGACTCGGAATAATTCTCTTTATTTTAGTGGTTGGTTTTTGGTCTTCAACGTACCATATATGGATTTTATTTTGCTTTAGTTTAGTCTCTGGGTTCGATTACTGTATTTTATCTTGTAATTCTTTTGCCACGCATTGCTTCCTATCGGCTACTTGGGACCATCCTCTGACATTTCATAAGCCAAATTTTGCTTTGTATAATTAGGCTTTTTGTAATCATTAGAGCAGGTGACCAGTCTGATCGTCAACTAGCCCATCGCTTTAGTTCATGGGGCGGGGTCCCACTAGCCCACAGCACCATGTAGTTGAAGAACAACAATTCTCCAGAAAATAATGAAATAGCCACTGACATGAACAAACAAGGGAGAAACAAATCAAAGATGGTCCTATTAGAAATAATCAAATGAAGTCTGAATAAGTTCAAAAACCATGCCCAAGCAGTATGTCGATGCAAATATGATAAGCATACATAAAATCACTTTTATTTAAAAAAACTATCGTAATGACCTCGGTGTTAGTGTAATATGAATAGTTTAAGTATTACATTAAATTCATGTGAGTAGTATAAAGTCATCTTCTGTACACTTTTCCTCCGTTTAGAAATCAGTCTAAATCTGTTAATCACACATGTGGCCAAAATATGACGAGTGCAAAAAAGCAACCAGTAATCACTTATATATATTCAACTTATTTTTAGTACGTTAATCCAAGAATTAGAGGGATATCAGGCGATGATGAAAAAGAAGTATTAAGAAAGCTACAACTGTTGTGTCGATACGATAGTGAGGTAAGTTACAACCACTGATTTATTTTAGAATGAAATGGTAAATTTAGAAACGGTTACAAACAAATGGAAAAAAGCAGCTTGGAAGGCACTACAAGAACTGATTTCTTTTTCTGGAGAAAAAACAACTGAACAAGAAATATTAAGTAAAGTGGGGATAGATCCTGCTACTATCACACTCAAACCAGAAGAATTGTAGTACCGGGCAAATAACTGTTTATATAATACATATTCACACTCCGATATGGTTGGTAATTTACAGAAAAACTTCGCTTAAGTCGCATGTGTCCAACCTAAGCATGTAAATGCAATTAGAGTATATCTAGTATGTTTAGGTCTGCATCATACTCAACGGTTTATCTTAAACAGAAGCGTGTTTGTTGAAAACAGTAAAATTTAAATGCTTCAGGCAAGGTGGTTTAACAGTTGCCGACTTTTCATTTTTGCTTATTTTTGTCCATATTTTTCAAAGTACCCACATTCTGGTCAGTCTTAGACAATGAATATATAACAGTCTAAATGACTACATTTCATATCAGCACAATGATAGGAGGTTGACCAGATGGCAATAAGAAGAGAAGAGATAATACCATTTGCAGTTGAAAGCTAAATGTAATGAATTATTTCAAAAGAAGCAAATCAGATTGAGAGGTGGAAAGTTTAGGATAACAATGGACTTGAAATTTAGAGTGAAATGAAATTATTGCAACTGTACCACTCCAACCTATTTCAAATTTTTTCCCCAGCGTCTCCAAATATTGCGCGAGTTACATCCGGAAGGTATTCAGCTTAATCATTTATCAGTTAACATTGTGGGTTAAAGTTGGTTGTGGCTAAGGGTGTATGAATTAAAACAAAACCAGCTTTTAATGCAGTGTGAATAATTGCTTGAGTCTTAAACACTTCTAAAGCAAATCAGCAGTAGTAGGTTAATTTAGGTCACTTGGATTCTCAATAATGTTGTCTTTTTCATCCTATGGGGAAATGAACCTCTAAAAGCATCCTCTTGTACACTTCTGGGTGCTGTAATCAAGGTTTTTAGCAACAGATAAATTCGTCCCCCATTTTGTGCAACTAGATTACACCTATCTTAGTGATGTGGTAGGCTTCAGTCCCTCCCAAGCATTTAACGGCGGTATGATTTGTCTTTATAAAACTTTGCATGCAACAGAATAGATTATTCTGTAGATATATTTATGCGAACCACACCTAATGTCGTGACTCTTTTTTAATCTTTGTTAATTTAATGATGTCTTTTTGTCGATAAGCCAGTCACTCTAGTTTTGATATATAAAACTATTGGTCTTTGTGTTCAGAGATAACATTTATCCGTATGATGTGCACTTTACACTATCGAAAAATTCCATAAGGACTGTAGGAAATATTTTTGAAATCCTGGCTAAAAGTAGAACGTAATTGGAAAGTACAGGCCGACGTGTTATCCAAGGTATTTATCGAGACTTAAAATTTACTGCGGAAAGATTTCAGTGTGTAATCCCCATGAACTGGATAAGTTTCCGACTTATAATTTCTGTAAGATTGTTGGTGTTTGCCACATATATTATGAGGGATAAATGGAAAGACCATGGTCGCTTTTTAGTGGTTCAGAATCAAATACGTGTTCATCAGCATTTTTTGCTTGACTGACGTGAACGAGTCTTCCCTTAACCTTAACAGTCAAGCTTGCGTACCAGTAAGATCATCGAGACTAATCCAACTTTTATTCCATGTGTCATACTCTCAGTCATTCTGAAAGTTCATCGTCTACTCCTGACCTTGTCGGTTGATCAACCCCTTTACACCAAGTTCTGCTGGTTTCAAAGATTTCAGCCTATGAATCATTATCCTTTTAATCTATAGTAATTACATGTGTCAAATAATTAGAAGAGCACTAAACATACTTCTTCAAGTCTGGCAGTAACATTTATATGGCAATAGACCAGTAGTAAAGGTAGTCCATATAGTCTGTTTTTAATTCATTTAACTAATTTGCAAATATCATTCACAAGATCATTTAATACAAAATATATTAGGAAATCAAGAATTTTCACTTCACAAGAATATTTTTTTGTATGTTGTACAGAGGATAATTATGCAGTCAGTGGAATCAGTCGTTTGAAAAATAATAATTGTTATCTAATCAAGTTTTAAAATTAAAAAAAGGATGATTGCACATACTTCATAGGTAGTAAAGGTTTTGAAACTATTGAAACAAAAAAAAAACATATCACAGGTCGGTTACATCTTCTTCAATCAAATCTTTTATATAATCAGAACTGAATAATTCAGGTAGTCCACTTTCAGAAAACATACTACTGAAACTAGTATTCAATGGAAGTTGGCGCCAATCTTGTCCATCGTTATTATTGTACTTTAAGTCATTTGCTGTATTAAAAAAATTGAATTAGTTCAGTTAGTTGAATCAAATAATTGTCAACGAATAGGATGAACAGCGAGTTCATCATATCAAAATATAACGGTCAACGCAATAAAAAAATTGAAGATACTATTGAAATCGACCTGAAAACTAGGTTCTACCGGATCAGTTGTTCCATCTTAATTTAGAACCGTTCATGAGTACTTGCACAAAATAGAACCCAGAAACTTCAGATTAACCAGTGAGGATGATAACATTCAGTGAAATTATTTTAGTCGGTTAGACTAGAATACTTTATAGGGCACTAAGAGAAGATGACTTTCTGCAGTAAACATTATATCAATTAACTACTATAATATCCTGTTAGAAATAGGACCACCGTGAGTTTAAAATATATCTTGTGAATACTGTTGCGAATCGTTAGTAGCTTTGTAATATTTTCATTTTCTGATCAATCGTTTATCATCCGGTGGGTTTTGTAAAAATTGACAACTTCTATCCTCAACTAAAATTATTTAACTGCCCAGTAATCCTGTCATCTGATTTATGGGTAACATATTAGTTCGATAACGTCAGTTATCCCAATATTTTGTCAAACAAAATGAAACTTAAAGTTCATTAATTTCACGGTTGAAGTCCGTATTTCACCAGTGCTTTTTTATTACCCTACTTGGTGATGACGAATGTACTATATTGCATGGAGTCAGTTTCAACGTAACTGTTCATATATCTGTGAAGTTATTTTGAAAGGAAGAACATTTTATTGATTTGTATGTTAAACTCGGAAAGTCTATGCAATATAATAGTTGTTATGCATTATCGTTAATTAAAAAACTATCCACATATTTTCGGAATAATAATATCAAGATAAGCAGTTTTCGTTTTTCACAGTGAACTTCTGCATGTGATCTTCCTTGTAAATAACAATGGAATTATGTCAAGAATAGGCTGTCCATCATACGGTCTTATTAGCTACTCGCATTTCGGTTCGTTTTACACGGGTCCAAAAGGTATTTACATATGAATATAAATAGTTTTATGTAACAAAAATTTTTTTTAAACATACTATTATCTGGCAAGTATTTGGAGTCACTTGTTTGATCAGCTTCAACAGAAATCATGTCATCTGCATCAAGAGCGAAAATAGGATGTTGAAGTGTTTCAAAATGTTCACCATAAGTACATGTAGATGGAGCAATATGCGTTGTGTCATTTTTATTGGATATACTAGTTACTGAACATTGTCCATTTGTTTCCTAATAAAAAATATTGTTAAAATGCATTTTACTATTTTAATACTAAAAGCTAACATACAAAAAGGCGATTTATAATTATTAAATTGTCATTTGCACCAAATTGAATTTTTTTTTAATCATTAATGCTCTATTAAAGTCATACAGGACCAAATGAAATTTCATTACCTGCATAGATCTGTAGGGAATATCCAAAGCATGAAAATGTCCGTCCTCATCGGTTTTCGCTAGATCAATATGATGTTCATCTGTAACGTTTAGTGTATCAGGTCTACAGATTGGTGTATTGTTAATGCTGTTGTTAGTTGTATGCTGACATGATCCCATTGAAAATTCAGTTGATTTCATTTTAGTTGTAGTGTTGTAGTTAAATGAATCGTTCCAGTCAAATGGAGCAATTGTTTCGTTATTAGTTACTTGTAATTCTGAGTACTCTCGTGATTTGAAAACCGGTGTCTGTGGTTCTGGTTTGGATTGAGTTAGCGCAGGAAATCTAGAAATTAGAGGTGTATACTATTCAATTTTTTTTATTTTTCATTGTTTTATATGTAACTTTATCATACACAGGTCTATGTATTTATCCTCGAGCCATAATTCGTATAGATGACAAGGATGCTACCCATCTGCTCATAATGGAATGGGTGAGGTAGGGCTCAAATTCATAATGCTTTAATCGCTAGGTTACCTTTTGATTGGAAGTGACTTTCTATTGCTTAGATTTTAAACAAAGTAGGGTTATGTCATAAAAAATTCAACAAGTCAGAAAGTCATCCTGAAAAATGTTTGACACTGTTAAAACGGAAACTGATCAGCCTACTAAAACATGACAATGTCACTCATCTAATTTGTGAGTATTACTGATTGATATATAGAACGATGTTAACTGCGTGTTAGTTTTCTCGTTAATAACAAACACGAAGCTGATGGACCGTAAACATATATTGAAATCACGAAGCGATCGAAGTTAAACAACCAACTTTGATTAGTTCGTGATTTCAATGAAATTCAACAATCTCTATAACACTGTAATGATAAAATATGTGTTGGATAACCTTCCAAAAATACTAAATAGTTGAAATTGCTTATTAGTTGAGAAGAACAAGTGTTTTATGAGCGTAAATCAATTAGTCTATAAAGATTCGATTCACATATATACAGCACAAGTATATATATCGTATAACTAACAATTCAAATTATCGGGCTGAATTCTAAACGCATGATTAATTTTGAATAGAAAATACGAGTTTCGGTTTATCTACTCAAAGTCTACTATTTACAATATTACGGTTGTCCATGTTTTCTATTGATTTCAACTTCGGTATTAGTAATTAAATGTATACTTGATGGGAAAAAAGTAACTTACTCAGTTGAATATAGCTTGCAGATAATACAGTAAAGAAAGGTATTCAATTGGATGGCTGTAAACACAGCTTTCAAGTACACTGACTTTGTTTTCCCATGGTTTAACCAATTA